GTGACAATGGCACATTTGAGGGAAAAAAGGTGGAGGAGTGACGAATTCGATGGAGGCGACGATAGATCTACAGAAGCTGGCACCAAAGGCGCTACTAGTGGTGGTGACATATCTACGACCTTTCATACCCATCTAAAGTCGTTCAACTCTTTAAACTCTAAGGCCTCAACCAAGTTCTCTCTTTCCTAAACGCAGACCCAGACTAAGAACAAGAAGAAAGAAGAAGAAGCCACTCACCATTCTGGAACTGAGTTAGATTGAAGGATTCACAGCCTTAGTCCATTAACAACCTGAATTTATCATTTATTAAATCATCGGCATGGTAGAGACAAATAGTGACAGGTTTTTTCTCTAGCCATGGGAGTCTAGTCTTGGATCGCCAATACCAACTCGTTGTCGTCGTCATAGCAATGTCTCGATCATCGGCGACATATGAGTTTGGACACAATAGTGGCGTCTTAATTGTCGGCGGCTAAGATGGCCGATCTGCGGTGGTAATGGAAGAGACGGAGATGAGAAAGAAAATGAGAGAGGGGGAGAGAGAGAGAATGCATTTGGGAAAATGTGAGGTTGAGGAGAAAGAAGAGAGTTGTATACGATAGATACATACTGTAGACACCCCATTTTTGACCGACCTCAAGACTTAGACGTCATCGTTTGTACACTTGATGATTGTGCTTGTTTTGAGCGCCCAAAGTAACGCCTTGTCTTTGAGCCTCTAAACCCTTTTTGTTTTATGCCTGTTTTTTGGCTAAACCTTGGTGCTTTTTTCCTGGAAGAAGGAGGGGCCTTGTCAGCTACTTTTTGGCCTTGTCGGCCACTTGTCTTCTTTGTCGACCACTTGAAGTGGTCAGTCGGCTAGGTGAGGTGGCCGACGGCCATTTTTCTCCTTTTTCAGATATTTTTTTGCCAGCTGTGCCAGCTGTTGTTCAATGAAGGCTATCTCCATACACGTGTATGAAGGGATGAATACAAGCCTTTGGCTTGAATTTCTATATATAGAGGGGTCTCTTTCCCATTTGAGGGGTTAGAAAATTTTAAGTAAAGTTTCTCCCTCTCTCTCTAGAATTCTCTCTCTCTTCTCTTGTTTTACGCTTGAAAGTTAGAATTCTCTACATATTTGCACACTAGCCCTTAACCAAATTGAACTACCTTGGAGCTGAGGCCTCTTGGAACCTATTTTGGGCTACTGAAAGGTTATTTGAGCCTAAGAGAGTGGTTGTTTTGTGCTGTTCTTCAAAGGTATAAGGCTTACCTCATTTAAGCTCTTTGTACATACTTGTTTTGACATCTTCTATGTTGTTTTGGGCCTAGTTTTCAACTACAAAAACTTTGATTTTTTGGGCCTTAACATGTTGGTTTGAAGCCATTTTGTGCTAAGGGGTTGTCTACCATTTTTGTTACTTGTTTGCATGAGCTTTCGCACCATCTTTTAGCATGATAAAATCAAACTTTTTGGGCCTTTAAACCACTGAAATTCAGAGTTATTTCAGAGGTAAAAAGCATGTTTTGAAGTCCAAAAATGGAGGGGTTAGCCTCTCCTCCTTGTGTCTCACTTCTATGTCTAGTTAGCATCACATGATAGCATGTTTTTGTGGCTTAACTTAGCTTAATTCAAGCATGTTTTAGGCTCTGATTTGGCATGATTTAGCTCTGTTTTGGGCTGCTTTGGTCATATGAACCATGTTTTGCATAGTTGTAGTGCAAATGGCCTTCACTAGCTTAGTGTTTTAGGTCTCTAAACATGTTTTGCATGGAATGATTGCATGTTGTAGTGTCATTTTACATGTAATTTCAGTGCATATAGCTCTGTCATATGCTTATTTGCTTCACTCTTTCATTGTTTTTTAGAGTTGCTCTTGAGTCTTGTTTGCAAGCTAACATGTGAGCATGTTTTTCTAGCTTTTTTGCTTCAATCTCAGCATGTTTTAGCCACTATTTTGGCAGGTTTTAACTCTATTTTGAGCAGGTTTGGTCAGTTGAGGCTTGTATTGCATGCCTATAGTGTTGTGATCTTCACTAGCTTAATGCTTTAGGCTCTTAATCATGTATTGCATGTGTTGCTTACATGATTTTGTGTCATTTTACATGCCATTTCAGCACTGAAATGTCTGCAACCTACCTCTATTCTTCACTCTTTATTTTGTTTTGAAAGTGGCTTTAAGCCTCTTGTTGGCTTGAGTGTGGAATTAAGACGCTCATGCCTAATGGTTTATTTCCTTCGGGAGTTTATTACCAACAGCATGAGGCCTCTTTCATGTTCAAGGTACTTGAGGTTTAAGCCCTCTTTCCATTAGTGGACATTCACCTTTTGGACTTAATCGATTAAAGGACTAATCGGTAATGTAAAATGAGTAAATAAAACATGACAAGTAAAACTTGAGCAAGTTAAGCATGTTGTGTTGCATTGCATGTGTTTGGATCGGACGTTAATCCGAACACAAGAAAAATGGGACGTTTCATACTCAAAGTGATGAAACGTGCCACTTTTCTTAGTCGTTATTACCCTTGATCATGCATGATAGGGTGGTGGTCCTTCGAGTCTTATTTGTGCATTCATTAAGCTTGTACTAGCTTGGTTTTCTAGCCATCATGCATTGAAAATGCTTGGTTGGTGGCTTGAGAGCCAAGCGCTACACTCCTTTGAGTTTGAGAAATGATAAGGAGGGTAGCAGTACACACATTTTCTTGAAAATGCATTGCTTTGCCTCTATTTGCTCTCTGTTGCAACAAAAGCAGAAATTCAGAAAATGGGGTGGCTGACCGACCACTTAAACTAGCCGACCGTGCAGTTAAGGTGGCCGACAGCCACTTGACCGGCCACCAGTGAATTCTTGTGCAAAAGTGTTCCTGTGTTGGAGCAGAAGCAATCTGGAAATTGGTACAGTTTTCAGTAATCAAAGCAAGTGCAAACAGAGGCATCCGATGGCAAGGGAATGGCATTTTCGGGAGAAAGCAACCGAGCATGCATGCATCACTTGTCCCTCGAGGCCGTTTAAATCGCTTTATTAGTTAGTTAGCGTAATTAATTATTCAATTCAAGTGTTGTATTTTAATTAGCATAGCATAGCTAGTTATTCAATTGTGTTGTAATAATTAGCTTAGCTTAGCTTAGTGTAGCTTAGCTTATTCATTCGGACCCTCCTTTGCGAAGACGCAATGTTGTAATAAGTGTGCGTGCGTGTGAGCATGTCTTCCAACCCCACGTCTTTCTCCCTTTTATTTATTCGCTTTTGATGGTTAGATTAGAGATATTTTCAATTAGCATACCTTATGCTTGCATGTTTGCATTCATTCATTTGTCTTGCATGCACCGAGACTTGGCGCATCATTCAAACTACATCGTCAATTCAATACTTATTTGAATACGTGTTTCAAAGCATGTTATCAAATTGTATCATATGCCATATTAGTAGCTGAGCCTATTAATTGCATTATTGCATGTGTTGCATTATGCATTTTGTATAGTTAGGATCATGCATTGTTTCTAACTAGTTTCTGTTTTGGCTTGGAGTACTTGGTGAGTCTTTACGCTTTAGCATACTTGCATGAGTGTGATTGTCATATTGCCATGTTTCACATGCTTGCCATGAGGCTATGTGCTTAAATGCTAAACTACATGAATGCCTGTAGATGAAGGCTTGATTGTTTGAATTGGAACAATTCGATGAATGTGAGTTTTGAGCCCACTTTGTGAAGTGGCAAATCATGTTTTAAGCCCATCTTGTTTGGTGGCAAATCCGTTTTTTAGCTCACTTCAAGGGTGCAAATTCAAACCATTTTCGAAAATAAATATGAGTTGATTTGTTCCAATTCTTGCGATTTTGGTCTATACTTGTGTGTGCGTCACATAGTAAAGTTAACTAATAATCGAAATAAGAACACATGAGGTCTATAAAACAATATATCAGGATTAGTAAAGACTGATTTTTGATCGGGCGAGCGGGGGTGCTCATTTCAGGACCTTCCCCTCTCGTACCCAAATTCCCGAGCCGAGGCAACTTTGGTGATGATGGACACGTGGCCTTTGGCACGAGTCAGGGTTTTCTAAATTTTTCCAAAACAAAATATTTAGATGGCGACTCTGTAATCTGGCAAAGCAGTCTAGTTTTAGCATTATTTGATTCAAAATCGATTTTTCAAAATGATTTGTCGGATTGAACTCTTGAGTGTTTATCAGTTTCACATTGCACTTTGTGAGACTAGATTCAGAACCGTGACATGAGTTCAAACTCTAGGACCAATTCGAACTCTCCGAAAAGGCGCGCAAAAAAGTCGAGCTACATATACTTGCATAGTTCGATCATTTCGCAAAAACATGTCCCTATGACCTTAATAATTAAACGTGTGAACTTTTAGGCAAAATAAATCCAAATTTGGACTTATAGATTAGGCGCCCTAAATATTATATTTTTTAAGTATATACCAATTAGGTATATTTAAAAAATTAATTTTTTTAAAAAATATTAAAAATTTTAAACCCAAAAAATAAAATACTCAAATTTTAAAATGTTGGCACAATTTTTAAAACTGTGATTCCACTAGGATCCCGCAACCACCACTCCCAATTTATCCCACATAATACAGGCGAAAGCAAATTACTACAGATTTGCTTCAAACACGACGGGAGACCATCCATACTCACAAATATGATTCTAAATGAATCGAACTATTTACGAACATGTTCGACTCGACTTATTAAGAACTTGACTCGATTCATTTCGGACTTGACTTCGTTTAATAAACAAACTGAATCCGAACTCAAATATTAAGCTTATTTTGTAAATGAGACAAATTCAAGTTCAAATAATCTCGACTCATTTATTTTTATTTAAATTATATAATATAAATAATAGTTTAAAAAAATTTTATTGACCCGAACTCAAATCAATAACTTATCGAGTAAACTCAGGACTCAAATTCAATAAACAAGTTAACTCGCACTCAACAAAACTCGGCTCGGTTGGATTGCACCTACTCACAGGTCAGAAAGAGGTAATTGTCGATTCATAAACCTGTCGTAAACCTCAGGCAGGACAGTTGAGAGGTCAGTCTAATTTTCTTGTATTCGGTGACTGCTTGGTGTTATTCTCCGAGTTATCAGAAAGGAAAATGGTTTCTTCGGCTCTCTCGAGGCTTGTCAACCTTCAAAGGCACTTTCAAGTTCCCAAGGTACTACTCTCTATACTATTTTCCGATGAAACTTGGAAGCAACTGAATTCTTTGAAATCAATTGGGACTTAAATTTGGCAATGGATGGTTTAGGCGTTTAGTGCGTTTAGCATCATGATATATCGATTGCAATAATTCCAAGAAATTTGCTATGATTTATGTTAACCCTTTTGACCAAGAGATGTCGATTTCTTTTATTTTTTCTCCAATAAATTTACTATGATTTATGGTGTTTTTGTTTGTTTTATAGGGTAGTGACGACAATTTGTGCATTGGCATGGTAAAGTTAACCCCTGATGTTTCTGAAGCGTTATCGCGTGGAAGAGCTGTTGTTGCACTTGAATCCACCATAATATCACATGGTATGCTATGCTATGCTATGTTAAGCCACTCTGTATGCAATATATGGGTTCGTTTGGATGTGGTTGGCTTTTTCGCTTTTTGAGATAGGCTTTTAGACTTTTTTTTTTTTTTTTTTTGTATTTTTGTATTACATGTATATCAAGCCAAGGGCTTATTTTGTGTAGAGTTAGTACTCTCCTTCTTGTAACCAAGTGTTGACTTGGAAAGTTATA